AGGCAACCAGAATAACACAATGTTCGTTTCATCTCCTCTGCGTCCATCTGTTGAAGTACACACTACGGATCCAGCCCCTCTTCGCCCACCGATCCTTGGCCATTCCCACTCCGCCAGATCCCATATGAGATCCCGCTTATTACACACCACTCAAAATGACAGGTATTGTCCTTCTCCCTTGTATCTCCCATTGCATACCGCCATTGTTTCCACAACGGTCTTTGCTAACTTCTTCAGCGAGCGGCCCCCTCGCATGCCCCCCTCTCGCAGGGGTTCACCTAAATCATTCCTTGGGACCTTTGAGTCGATGGTTGAGATAAATCCAAGTTGTAAGTTTTTCTGAAGGTGGTCCTTGTTGTGCAATAATCTCTTCCTCATGATCTTCAAAGCACACCGACTAGTCACCTTGCAAATGAAGAGGCAACATAATCTTTCTATTGCTGGCCATTATTGCGTCATATGGAACAAAAACACTCCCCAATAGGCCCCGCTTATACTAACACAACACATGTCATGATAATATTTTGTTGGACAATTCCAGTCTTTCGAGCTTAGTAACCATGACCTTATTAAATTATTTGAGCACATACTTCAAGTTATACAAATGGCCGCAAAACTTGACATTAATGTGGCAAGCGAAACGCATGAGAAGGTAGGCATTGTATGGAAACTCATCCCTTACCGTACGTGATGTTATCATTGCATAGTGAATAATCTTCACAACTTGAGCTTTGTCGTTTATATGCTAGTAAGAGGTAGCTCCTGCATCGTTGGGACGTGATGTGAGATATGTACTATTTACATAAATATTTAGATTTAAACTCGTTTTTATGCGGCTTGCTGTAGGCTTTTGCAGGACCACAAATATTGTGGATCACGAGTCTGTTAGCCCTATCTTGAAACTCTTTTGATGGAGGGATTGCAGTAGACATGATGTTGTCCATATCTTGGGCATGAAAAATCTTCTCAATGTGTTAAGGATAAAAAAAATATTTGCATACAAAAGACCCCGTTTTCTTAACTCTATTATGTAAAAGAGTGCTAAAACTGTTGAAAATCTATTTATTTTGTATTTTGTGAATCACTTGTTCAAGATGACCACAAAAGACTCTCGCAAACAGATAAGGTATATCAGAAGGTCCTTAACCTGGGAAAAAACTTGCCAGTATCTCCTGTCAATTAGTATTGCACGCGACCGTGATAAACATATCATTTTTCTCTTGTTTTTGCACGATGGTCATTGCATTGAAATATTTCTCTGTCATGTATCGAGGACCAACATTGAAAATGGATGGAAGAATGACATTTGTCACCACTATGATGTTCTTTGTTATGAGCAGTCCTGCATAATCCATACTAGTATGAGCGATTCTTTTTCGACTTTTCTATACTTCCTACCCCTTCTATTTCTTCTCTTGGTTCCCCATTCCTACAACTTCTACGGATCTACAAACCTAATATTATTTTATAGATCCCTTCATCTAAACTAAGTCGTCTATTTTCTTTATCCATTCCTGCCTTGTCTATCTTTTTCTATCCTCTCGACAATGTAGCCTATTTTCCTTCCTATTTAACCCACCCGGTTCTCTGTCTCTCTCTCTCTCTCACACCCCCCCACACACACACAAACACACACACACACACACACACACACGCTGTCGCACTTTTTTCTAGTTGGGCCCCTTCGGGCGACCAGAAAGCCAACAGACTGTCACGCAGGATTTGTTTGATGTTTGCAGTAAATAAAATAAATCAAATAAAGTAAAATCCCTTCCTGTTGTGTGCGTCTGGCTTCGAGTGAGACCCTTCAATTGTGGTCTTCGCCGGTCCCCGGTCTTAAGAATCTTTTATTTTGATTCGGAACAACAACTGATAATACAAATAATAATTATAAGGCTTTGATGTATCATGCATGCATTGGCTTGCCAATTTACAAATTTTGAGAACTGTGACAAAATCATTAGAGAAAAGCAGCCATCAGCAACTGACAATGCAAGAGACAAAGACTGACCAACTCGAGCAAAGACAGGATCAAGTGAGGGAAGAATGAGAACTCATAATAGTCTCAGAAAGTACACATGAAGAGAGCATGGCCAACACTAGTCACGAGTCCTAACTCATCCCTCTAAATATCTCTATCAGTCTCTCGTTTTGCCGTCTGCCTCTTGTGCTTTCGACCATGTCTCCGTACTTCCTGAGGTCGTGGCTCCTCAATGTAGAGCCATCTGAAGCCCACTAACTTCAAGCAATCGCATCCGTGTCCCATGTAAAAGTCCAGCATAGCACAAAACTCTTCCCATGCAGAGGGAAGATATGGTCGAGAGAGGATCCCTCGTCTGAGGTGAAGGAACTCAGAAGGCTCAGTCACTGCTTCATAATCGATTGCTGCAGGAAAAATGTACTTCTTGGCCAGGTCCATCAAACCTCCCCAGTAAGAACCGTCTGTAAGATAATAGGGGACTGGAGGTTTGGGATAGTCAATAAAGAGCTTAGGGTCAAAGTTATAGGCCAGTTTCGTGCTACC